GTCCCGGCCAGGAACCTGCCCAACCGTTACTGTCCCGGCCAGGAACCTGCCCAACCGTTACTGTCCCGGCCAGGACCTGCCCAACCGTTACTGTCCCGGCCAGGAACCTGCCCAACCGTTACTGTCCCGGCCAGGAACCTGCCCAACCGTTACTGTCCCGGCCAGGAACCTGCCCAACCATTACTGTCCCGGCCAGGAACCTGCCCAACTGTTACTGTCCCGGCCAGGAACCTGCCCAACTGTTACTGTCCCGGCCGGGAACCTGCCCAACCGTTACTGTCCCGGCCAGGAACCTGCCCAACCGTTACTGTCCCGGCCAGGAACCTGCCCAACCGTTACTGTCCCGGCCAGGAACCTGCCCAACCGTTACTGTCCCGGTCGGGAACCTGCCCAACCGTTACTGTCCCGGCCGGGAACCTGCCCAACCATTACTGTCCCGGCCGGGAACCTGCCCAACCATTACTGTCCCGGCCAGGAACCTGCCCAACCGTTACTGTCCCGGCCAGGAACCTGCCCAACCATTACTGTCCCGGCCAGGAACCTGCCCAACCGTACTGTCCCGGCCAGGAACCTGCCCAACCGTTACTGTCCCGGCCAGGAACCTGCCCAACCGTTACTGTTCCGGCCAGGAACCTGCCCAACCGTTACTGTCCCGGCCAGGAAACTGCCCAACCATTACTGTCCCAGCCGGGAACCTGCCCAACCGTTACTGTCCCGGCCAGGAACCTGCCCAACCGTTACTGTCCCGGCCAGGAACCTGCCCAACCATTACTGTCCCGGCCAGGAACCTGCCCAACCATTACTGTCCCGGCCAGGAACCTGCCCAACCATTACTGTCCCGGCCAGGAACCTGCCCAACCATTACTGTCCCGGCCAGGAACCTGCCCAACCATTACTGTCCCGGCCAGGAACCTGCCCAACCATTACTGTCCCAGCCGGGAACCTGCCCAACCGTTACTGTCCCGGCCGGGAACCTGCCCAACCATTACTGTCCCGGCCAGGAACCTGCCCAACCATTACTGTCCCGGCCAGGAACCTGCCCAACCATTACTGTCCCGGCCAGGAACCTGCCCAACCGTTACTGTCCCGGCCAGGAACCTGCCCAACTGTCACTGTCCCGGCCGGGAACCTGCCCAACCATTACTGTCCCGGCCGGGAACCTGCCCAACCGTTACTGTCCCGGTCGGGAACCTGCCCAACCGTTACTGTCCCGGCCAGGAACCTGCCCAACCATTACTGTCCCGGCCGGGAACCTGCCCAACTGTTACTGTCCCGGCCAAGAACCTGCCCAACTGTCACTGTCCCGGCCAAGAACCTGCCCAACCGTTACTGTCCCGGCCGGGAACCTGCCCAACCGTTACTGTCCCGGCCAGGAACCTGCCCAACTGTTACTGTCCCGGCCGGGAACCTGCCCAACTGTCACTGTCCCGGCCAGGAACCTGCCCAACCGTTACTGTCCCGGCCGGGAACCTGCCCAACCATTACTGTCCCGGCCAGGAACCTGCCCAACCATTACTGTCCCGGCCAGGAACCTGCCCAACCCTTACTGTCCCGGCCAGGAACCTGCCCAACCGTTACTGTCCCGGTCGGGAACCTGCCCAACCATTACTGTCCCGGCCAGGAACCTGCCCAACCATTACTGTCCCGGCCAGGAACCTGCCCAACCATTACTGTCCCGGCCAGGAACCTGCCCAACCGTTACTGTGTCCCGGCCAGGAACCTGCCCAACTGTTACTGTCCCGGCCGGGAACCTGCCCAACTGTTACTGTCCCGGCCAGGAACCTGCCCAACCGTTACTGTCCCGGCCAGGAACCTGCCCAACTGTTACTGTCCCGGCCGGGAACCTGCCCAACTGTTACTGTCCCGGCCAGGAACCTGCCCAACCGTTACTGTCCCGGCCGGGAACCTGCCCAACTGTTACTGTCCCGGCCAGGAACCTGCCCAACCGTTACTGTCCCGGTCGGGAACCTGCCCAACCATTACTGTCCCGGCCAGGAACCTGCCCAACTGTTACTGTCCCGGCCAGGAACCTGCCCAACCGTTACTGTCCCGGCCGGGAACCTGCCCAACTGTCACTGTCCCGGCCAGGAACCTGCCCAACTGTTACTGTCCCGGCCAGGAACCTGCCCAACCATTACTGTCCCGGCCGGGAACCTGCCCAACTGTCACTGTCCCGGCCAGGAACCTGCCCAACCATTACTGTCCCGGCCAGGAACCTCCCCAACCGTTACTGTCCCGGCCGGGAACCTGCCCAACCATTACTGTCCCGGCCAGGAACCTGCCCAACTGTTACTGTCCCGGCCAGGAACCTGCCCAACCATTACTGTCCCGGCCAGGAACCTGCCCAACCATTACTGTCCCGGCCAGGAACCTGCCCAACTGTTACTGTCCCGGCCAGGAACCTGCCCAACCATTACTGTCCCGGCCAGGAACCTGCCCAACTGTCACTGTCCCGGCCGGGAACCTGCCCAACCGTTACTGTCCCGGCCGGGAACCTGCCCAACTGTTACTGTCCCGGCCAGGAACCTGCCCAACCATTACTGTCCCGGCCGGGAACCTGCCCAACTGTTACTGTCCCGGCCAGGAACCTGCCCAACCATTACTGTCCCGGCCGGGAACCTGCCCAACTGTCACTGTCCCGGCCGGGAACCTGCCCAACCGTTACTGTCCCGGCCGGGAACCTGCCCAACTGTCACTGTCCCGGCCGGGAACCTGCCCAACCGTTACTGTCCCGGCCGGAAACCTGCCCAACTGTTACTGTCCCGGCCAGGAACCTGCCCAACCATTACTGTCCCGGCCAGGAACCTGCCCAACTGTTACTGTCCCGGCCGGGAACCTGCCCAACTGTTACTGTCCCGGCCAGGAACCTGCCCAACCATTACTGTCCCGGCCGGGAACCTGCCCAACTGTTACTGTCCCGGCCTGGAACCTGCCCAACCATTACTGTCCCGGCCAGGAACCTGCCCAACTGTTACTGTCCCGGCCAGGAACCTGCCCAACTGTTCCTGTCCCGGCCAGGAACCCAAGCGAAGACTCCAGATTATGAGTCAAGAACGTAGACCACTCTACACCTTCGGGGTCGTCTTACACCGCGCTCGGGATTCATAGTCCTAAGGGTCCGGATTCAATCTCCGACGGAGGCGGAAACAAATGGACAGTTTCTTTCACCCTGATGGCCCTGTTCACCTAGCAGTAACAGGTACCTGGGAGTTAGACAGCTGCTCCGGGCTGCTTCCTGGGGATGTGTAACAAAAAAGAGGTCTATCTTGAGATCTTGAGGTTATCTTGAGATGATTTCGGGGCTTAGTGTCCCCGCGGCCCGGTCCTTGACCAGGCCTCCAACCCCAGGAAGCAGCCTGTGACAGCTGACTAACTCCCAGGTACCTATTTACTGCTAGGTAACAGGGGCATCAAAGTGAAAGAAACTGCCCATTGTTTCTCGCTGGCGCCCAGGATCGAACCCGGGACCACAGGATCACGCGTCCAGTGTTCTGTCCACTCAGCCACCGGCTCCTTCGACCGCCCTGGTCGAGGACCGGGCCGCGGGAACGCTAAGCCCCGAAATCCTCTCAAGATAACCTCAAGATAGGCTCATCTAGATGTTGTCCGATGTCCGAGCTGTTTGTCCATACACTGTGGCTCAGTGGTGATGTACTCGCCTAGTTGTGCTTGCGGGGGTTGAGCTCTGGCTCTTTGGTCCCGCCTCTCAACCGTCAATGTATTATATGTATATAATACATATAATATGTATGTATTATATACATCATACAACCCCCCCCTTGGGCACAGCATTATGTGACCACATTACTAAAGGTAATCCCCTTTACACACACACCAAGAAGCCCTCATCATCGTGATGAATCAACGATGAAACATGAGTATAGGAAC